CTGTGCTAATTGTGGGGCTTCTGTGATAGATCTGTTATGCTGTTCCAGGGCCCTTTTAACCCCAGAAAGCCAGGTCTTTTTTGGTCTTCCTACTGATTTGAAACCGGATTCACGGGAGAAGTAAGCTCTAGCAGATAGTTGTTTCCCGGGGATTCTGGTTAGATGGCCGAACCATTTCGCTCTTTGGCGCTCTATGAAATTTATTTCTGGTGGTATTCCTGTTTGTAGACGTATGGTTTCGTTCCTTATGCGGTCTCTTCTGGTGACATTGATGGCTTTGCAGAGACACTTCGTTTTGCATGCATTGATTTTTCTTTCTTGTGCTTTGTTTAGGGACCATTTTTTGGCACTGGTATGTTAAGGTTGGTGTGAAGATGCTATTGATAAGCTGAGAATTCACCTCGGTTGGTATCGTCTTGTGACTTGGCAGAGGTGCTAGCTGATAGATCACTTCATTTGCCTGCATAGTTCTTGTTTCTATCCTTTTGTCCATACGCCCATCTTGTGTGAAGAGGTTTCTTAAATATTTAAATTCCTCTCCTTGTTGTAGTTGTGTTCTGTCAGTAAGGATGCTGAGTTTCCCTGGGTCTCTACTGACAAATGTTTTTAAATGGAGATTTTTAGGTTTAGTTGTTTACATTCTTAATTTGGTTTTGAGGTGCGTTTTTGTAACCCTCTTCATCTGTATTAAATACACTCTGGTCATCATCAAATAGAAGCTCGTTCAGTTCAGTGATGTTGTCATTTGCTGCTTTCGTGATCTTATCTATGTAAGTGATGAAGAGAAGCGGAGAGAGAACACACCCTTGTCTCACTCCAGACCTGATGGGGAACCAGTCCGATATTCCTTCAGTTGATCTTACAGCACACAGGCTATTATCATAAAGTGCCATGCTGTTCTCCAGCAATTGTCCCGTTGCACCATATTCCTCTAAGACCTCCCAAATTTGAAATCTATTTACCTCGTCAAGCGCCTTTTCCTGGTCCATAAAAACGATGTTGAGGTCTTTGTCATGTGCAATGGCAGTCTCACACAACTGTCTTATTGAAAAAAAACCCGTTAGTACAGCCCCTGCCATTTCTGAAGCAAAACTGGGCTTTACTGATATGAGTCTAAACAATTGGTCTCATTCTCATTTTCAGTATCTTGGCAAACGTTTTACCCACACGACTGAGAAGGCATATTCCACCGTAGGTTCCACAGTCTCTTTTGTTATCTTTCTTTTTCCAAAATAGCTACAACAACAGCTCGTTGCCAGTCATCGGATGTTATTTTTGTCGCCCAAGCCAGGTGAAACATCCTCCATAGCCAGACTTTCAACAACAACTGCAGGAAGATGTCACCAAGTGCCAATTGCGGATGGGATCGGTTCGGCTCGGTTCGGGTCGATCGCCCGACACGTCGACGGAAAACATGAGTTTGCTTTTGAGGCGACGAGTCGGGTCTGACCGGCTTGTGCTAGGATAGCCGCTTTGCGCCCTCAATCTGACGAGCAAATCGACCCGACGCGACCCGAACCCCAATGGACACTCCGTATTATCCACGGTTGGCGCTTTGTTTGTGGTGCTTTTATTTATCTTTATAACATGCTGGGTTTCACTCCACAGTATTGATGGTTCTGGAGTGGTTTCTTTCGGGGAGAAGCTGTTTTTGTTGTTTTTCCCCACAGGGTTCAGCAGCTCTTGGAAATAGCGTTTCCATCTTTCCTTAATCTTTGGCTAACTGAAAATAGGGTTTTCCTTTTCGTTTGACCTTTCTATTCCTTAGAGTCCCTCCGTTTGTTTTCATCCTTTCTCTGTCTTTTTAGCAATTAGCCGAATATCAATTACCGGCTTGCTTGACCCGTCGTAACTTCACCAGAGCCCAGTTGGCCATCGACGTTTCAGGGAGAGCCGGGTTGGCCTTCACGGTTGTGAGTACAGCAAGGGAAGACAGCGGGAGAAACTATAAACTGCTGCCATATAGTAGGAGGATTTAGATGAGGTGACAAAGATTAAAGGAGTCACATCATCATCATCATCATCATCATCATCATCATCATCATCATCATCATCATCATCATCATCATCATCATCATCATCATCATCAACACCATTAG